GAGAAAGAAAGAGAAAGAAAGAAAGAAGAAAGAAAGAAAAAGAAAGAAAGAAAGAAAGAAAGAAAGAAAGAAAGAAAGAAAGAAAGAAAGAAAGAAAGAAAGAAAGAAAGAAAGGGATGGAAGGAGGGAGGGGAGGGGAGGGGAGGGAAGGGAAGGGAAAGGAAAGGAAAGGAAAGGAAGATAGAGAAAAGTTTTACTGAGCAACACATGGCCACTCAGAAAGTTCTCTTTTAAAGTCTTCTTCCCACAACACCTCTGTTTCTTGGACAACTGACAAAATCAATCTTTCTTTCTCTCAACCTCTGTCTCTGTGTCTGTCTCTCTGTCTCTCAGTTCCCCTCCCTCCTCTTTCTCTCCACATCTAGCCAGCCATGCAGGTTCCTCTCCCCACTCCTCCATGTGCTCACTGGCCATTCCTGCAGCCACTCCCTCTGCCCAGACTTTTCCAGGACACTTCTCTCCAGGAATCCCCATCTTTTCTCATAAATAAGTACTTGGCTTTCCTTAACTTATAAATTCTTCGTTTTCAACCCTTTAGACACTCACACACACACCATGTCTCCAACATCTTCAGATGCAGGAGAAGGGAGTAATTTTAATATTTATAAACTATTTATGAGTCACTATGTTTCCCTGACAGAAATGTTGAACTTGAGGTGCCTTTGGAGGTGCAAATGGAGCATTCCAAGGGCAGCCAGGCGGGGCTCCAGGAGGGGTCTGGGGGTCAGCAGCACAGGGAGTTCAAGCCACAGGAGTCAGGAAGCTACAAGGAAAGGGCAGACAGACTTCCCTGAGGAGCACCAGCCTGTAAGGGTGGGTCAGGGCCAAGGGTAAGTTTACAAGAATAAACCGAAAATGAAGAAAAGAAACAGAACGCAGAGCCCACCATGACACGAAACACAGAGAACGTTTGGAGAGAAGGCTAGATGTCAATGTCAGAAGCTGCAGAGAAGTGGGGCCTGGAAAGGGCTGGATGGTTTCCATTGGATTTGGCCACTGATAGATTGGACCAATGTGTGCAGAGGGTTTGAGGTGAAGGAGGGCTGCCCTGATGGGGATGAGGGTGTCAGGGAAGGGACATGGGGACTGGGGACGAGCCACACCATCCGAACGCTACACTGCACAGCACGGAAGGCTGGAGGTGTTTCCTCGTGTGTGACATGAGCCCACCACGAAGAAGGAGTTGGCAGGGTAGCAGGTCAAATATAAGCAAGAGTGAGGAGAGAGTCGTGGACGGACTTCTATGAAGATGAACCCAGAAAGCCACAAGACATGTTGGATGGAGGTGGACAGAGTCGTGTACGGTGGGACGTCTCTCCAGACCAGTTTGCCCAGGTGGGGCCAGAAGTGCAGGATGTTTCCTCTTGGCTGCTGACCTGCTGGGAGGGGAGCATGCTCAGGGAAGAAGCAGCTCCACAGAGGGGTGGGGGGCCTTGGAGAGCGCTGGGGACAAGCCTGGAGTCCCTGCATTACTTACACCAGTTGACAACGGCTGGTGGCTCTTCTTGCCAAGACGTTGATTAAGGAACAAGACAGGATAAGCAACTGCCTTTCAAGATGCGGTTGGCCCCCCACCCCGACTTTCACTTCCTTTCCCCACAAAGCCCCTGAGGGAACGGTCTCCCCGTTTCCAGCTACCAGAAGCACCTTCCTAAAACACAAGCCTGTGGACGTCATCTCAGTGCTGATAACCTCACCAGCCCCACCGCCCATGAGGTTCCATTCCAAAGCACCGTGTGGGCCTGCCTGGACTCTCCAGTTCAAACCCCCGTATGACTTGACTGGCTCTCTCATGTCTCATCTGGCCTTCCATCCCCAGAAAGACCAAGACCTTCCCTGACCACCTGCGTGAGGGAATTTCTCCGTCCTTACTCATCACTGTGCCAGCCAGCAACCATCTCTCTTATTACTCAGTTGATATTACTTCGTCTTAGCACACATTATGGTCTGAAAATACCTTGTTTTGAAAACTTCTCCCCCAACTAGAATCGAAGCTTCTTGCCAGCCGGGACCGAGTCCGTCTTTACAGCCCGCACGCTGTCTCCTGTCTCCAGGAACAGGCACTGGCTCACAACAGGGTCTCAGGAAGTCCTTGCTCAGAATTTATTTACACCGTGGTGTTAATTGTTATCCCATTTACACTCACAGTAAGGTCAGAGCTTCTTAAGAGCAGGGCTCCTGTTACAGAAATATTATCTATCTCCAAATCCTAGGACAAAGCTTCGTGCATAAATCATAATCTGCTGTCCAAATAAATGCAAAACAGTTCAGGAGGAGTCACAGCAAGTGCGCATCAGCCTGGGTGTAACCGCTGATTCGCTGTGTGACTCTAGTTAAGACACTTGGCTTCTCTCTGCACTTCAGTTTTCTTATCTACATAGTAAATCATTTTGACTGTTATCAGTTGTTCCTTCTCCTTAGAGGAAGGGGATCCAAACTTCTGGGGATGAAGCTGGGAAATCTGCACATTTTAAAGCTCCCTGACATGAGAACCATGGGACTTTGTGACTGCCAAGATCATCTCAGCTCTTACATTCTGTGATTCCATGTTTGAATCACCAAGCCTATAGAAAATCAGTTACCATGACACCCAGAAGTCTCAAGTCCCAACCTTGAGTGGCCAGATGCTCTCTGCCCACGATGCACTCACTTGCCCGCCTATACATTAGGCTGCCTGGTGCTGTTTCTAGGCTCGGCTTTGTCTGTGGGACCATGTTTTTCAAATTATCTTCCTTCCAAAAATCACCTGGAACACTTTTTATAAATGCAGATATCTGGGCTCTGCAAATCATATTAAATCAGGTTCTCCAGGAAAAGAACATTGGAAATCACTGCGACCCAGGAAGCATCCCCGGGAAACCCTGCCCAGGGACGAGACAAGAGCTGGAGAGGGTGGGTCTGTGCTGAGTTACAGTGGTTATTGCCAGCACTGTTGGCTCCTGAGCAACACAAGAACAAGTCCATTCTGGAAACCCCATCTATGTGGGATAACACAATAGATATTAGTTGTCAACATTTACCTCTTTGAGACCATTCAACGTCTATGTGACATCTTTTATTCCACCATCACCGAAACACTTCCATGAATCACAAAGAATCACACAGGGTGCATTTATCGAGCATTTATCAAGCATTGGGCAACTTAATCAAACCAGGCTGCCGATTGTCTGTTCATGGGAGTAAAACAATGGAGAGGTGGCTCTGAATATTAGGGGGCCCTGCTTTCTTATGTACGTTCTGGTCACACTTGGGAGGATGTGACCACCTCGGCTAGATAAGGTCTGTGGTTAGCATTACTTGAAAGAGTGAGGGAGTCGTCCTTCTTGTTTCACTGATGGACAGACAAGGTTCGTATTGCTTCAAGTGTGGTCCCCACCATTGATGATCATCACACACCTTGTAAGTATTAGAAGAGGAATCCATGTTCACATGTAGAGGGTCTCAATGACTCTCATTTTCCTATTCACCACATGCTGTCATCTCACCAGACAGGACAAGAGCCCAACAGGGTGACTTCAGGTATCTGAAAGGCCTCTGCTCCACCCCATTTTCCATACCTGCTTTTTGAGGGCCATGTTTCTTTTGTCCGAGATTGAAGATTCCTTCAATCAGATGGCCAAGACTCTACCTTCAACTATATTTGGTTGATGATGAATTAAGGTTTTGGATGGGAAAAGGAGAAAAAGAGGACAATTCTGCAGAAGGCAAGGGAATCTGAGGCACAGGTGGTGGGGCTCACTGTCAAAGACAGTTTCCCACAGGATCAGCGGTGGCTACACACAGAGAATACATGAACATGTAGCAACTGTTTAATTCAACTAATATTATTGTGGCTCTTGCATGATCTATGGCAGCTCTGTGTCTCATTGTCTAGGAATTACAGAGTATCAAGCGTGCAGCTCCTGCTCTCAAAGATCTTGCAGTCAAGTCAAGATAAGCACTCAAATTCAAATCTGTCTCCTCTTCACCTTTCCCACAAAATGCTAACAGCCCTGTAGGTAGGTTTATTTTATAGCCACCAGTTTTTAAATAAAGTGAAGTCTCCCCATAGCTGGAGATGTACATTTTGCTTGTTAGATAGCATATCTACTATTAGATTCCTGGAAAGGAATTGTGTTAGCAATACATTTTTGAAAATTATTTAAGCTCTTTTCTTAACTTATATTTGCTGGTTAGGAAAGCTAGTGAAAAAAAAAGTACTATTGTCTTACCTTTATTTCCTGTTTCTTATGACATTGAGAAAGAGGAAGGAACTTCAAGTCCTTATTTCAGTGACTGCCGGCTTTTCTGTCTGAAGAACATGTGAGAATATCCACTTTCAAAGAGGTCTACAAATCTCTTCCTATCAGTGAGATAACTGGAAAAGATACCCCAGCTGCTTAACTCATGCAAGTTTGGAGATGGTGAGTTACATCTGGAGAAAAAAGGAAAGACTTCAGTATTTTGTAAATGACCACTGACGTTAAATCCATGGTCACATCAGGAAAATCAAATTAACGACCTCTAACAGTAGAAGGAAATGACCTAACGATGAAGCATCTAAGACTCTCCCCAGACCAACCTCCTTGACTAGATAAGGTTTGTGGCTAGGTTTAGTTGAAAGAGTGAGTAAGCCTACTTCCTTTACAGGAATTTCCTGTAAAGATTATTAGCATTCAACTCAATTTCTCAACTGTAGGTTTTGGGGTTTTTGTTTTTGTTTTTCGTTTTGTAAAGCTAGCTCCCGAAAATGTAACCTTCATAACCTAAAGCTTTCCGCGTGATTAACTTTCTAAATCTGAAAAAGAAAAAAGTCTCTCTCCAACACCGTTTGTTTGAAACAATGATTGATTGATACAGACAAGGAAGTTAATTAAAGTCTAAAACTACCAGCTTCTTCGTATCTCTTTATCAAAAGAAAATTTCAAAATATAACTTGCCACAGTTCCTTTCACGGAACAAGAAAAATCACTTAATTAGAACCTTGGACCACTCTGAGACCACACTGGTCAGAAAGAGCTTTGTCTAGAAAGCATCTCGGCGAAGCATAGATAACACTCTCCCTCAAGAGGCTCATATTCTAGTAAGGATAAGGCTGATGCATCTGAGCACAGGGAGGCTCTAGGACTGTTTCTACACATGGCTGGAGGGTTACATAAAGTGTATGTGCACGACTGGGACATTGTGCTGCACACCAGAGATTGACACATTGTAACTGGCTGTACCTCAATTAAAAAAACAGATAAACAACAAGTTCATACTATGTAGCACAGGGAACCATATTTAATATCTTGTAATAACCTGTAGCGAAAAAGAAGATGAAGATGAATGTATGTGAATGTATGTATGTATATGTATGACAAACATCGTGCTGTACACCAGAAATTGACACCTTTTCTAAGGTCTGCCTACGGGGAAGGTGCAAACACTCTCCAGGGAGAGGGGACCAGAAGCCAGACTTCTCCACATACACCTTGTTTTGCAGATTTGCTCTTAGAAGGATGCAACTATTCCACACGATTGTAAAACAAAATAAAATTTTAATAAGAATCCCTAAAAATCACAATAAAAGAAATAAATCTAACTATATATTGAGCCAACAAAACTATATCAAGAGGAATCTTTTCAAATGACTTTAGAATACACCAACTGGATTTTACATTCTAATGGGATATTCTCAAGGGATAAAATGGTCTTGTTCCCAATATCTGGAACTGAGGCTATTGTATACATTGTGGGATAAGTCAAATTAATAATTAAATGTCTCCTGGTGGACTCGGGTATGCAGGAGCAGTTGGCCTGAAAAAGTCATCAACAGCTTCACAATTAGCCTGAAGACCAGTTCTGGAGCTGGTATCTGCAGTAGAACTTTATCATTATCATTTTTAATTGAAATATAGTTGATTTACAATGTTGTGTTAGTCTCTGGTGTACAACATGGTGATTTAGTTATACACACATGCATTTATACAGATATACCCTTTTTTCATTATAGGTGACTACAAGATATTGAATATAGTTCCCTGTGCTATATAGTAGGACCTTGCTGTTTATCTATTTTACATATAGTAGTGTGTATCTGCAAATTCCAAACTTCTAATTTATCCCTCCCCTTCTCCCCACTCCTGGTAACCATGAATTTGTTTTCTATGTCTGTGAGTCTATTTCTGTTTTATGAATAAGTTAATTTGTGTCCTTTTTTTTGATTCCTCATATTAGTGATATCATATGATATTCAGCTTTCTCTTTCTGACTTACTTCACTTAGAATAATGATCTCCAGGTCCATCCACGTTGCAAATGGCATTATTTAATTATTTTTTATGGTTGAGTAGTATTCCATTGTATAAATATATCACAACTTCTTTATCCAGTCATCTGTCAATGGACATTTAGGCTGTTACCATGTCTTGACTATTGTAAACAGTGCTGCTATGAACACTGAGGTGCATGTATCTTATCAAGCTAGAGTTTTCTCTAGATATATGCCCAGGAGTGGGATTGCTGGATCTTATGGTAAGTCTATTTTTAGTTTTTTAAGGAATCTCCATACTGTTTTCCATAAGGCTGCAACAGAAGTTTTATGATTCCACAGACTTCTTCCTGTCCATGGCAGAATCAGCAGCTCTTTTTTGATGTGACCAATATTTTGGTGTGACTTTAGAAGATACCCTTGGAATATTAGCCAAGAGTCTATTTCATCCCCTTTCTAAACAATTTTGTAACCATATCTGTTTATACTAGCCAGAGAGGACCAGAGAGGATTACATTCATTACATCTATACCATGGCCTATTCAGAGGTGTTTGATTTTGCCAAATAAAACTGTTAAGTGGTATCTCAGCATAAAAATGGAGAAAAGCAACGCTGCTCTGGTTGGAGTATTTGGAAGGAGCTGGAGGTGGGGGAGGACTGGGGCCCAGCACACGTGTGCCCCTCACGGCATCCCACTGCCCAGGGTGGTCAGGGAGGCACATCTGAGGAGCTCTAGGGCCCTGAAACACAATTAGACAGTCTGTTTTCACAGGTCCGCCATTCGTTATTAAACTGGCACACCAAGTTGTAGCAGCTGTGTAAATTGCGTTCCCCAGATGGTACGTGCAACCACAAGTTGGGCTGCAAAGAGATAAAAGCTGGTTTTCACAAGCCTCTCACAGGAATGTAGGTGTTGGTCTCAGCGCTCCCGCCTGGACTGTGATCATTATCATTGTGGCCCGCAGGTGGGGCTGGAAGGATTCAGTGTCCTGCCCACAGTGCACACATCCCGTTTCCTGTTAGAGCTGTGGCTTGGCCACTCTTTGAAGAGCCCTGCATGGCTTATGAGCCTGTTTCTCAGAGTAGCTTCTGCTCAGGAAGACAGCTTCCCCCAAACCCTGGGTCTCCTCCCTCAGTGCTCACTCCTGCCAGGGTGACAGGCTATTTCCTCTGAGTATTTATAGCTATGACTGAGCTCGGCCGTGGGCACTGGTTTTGCAGTGTCCCCAGTTCAGACGAGCATGTTGGTAGCTGCAGGGAGGCTCCCCTTCTCTGTGTCCTCTGGACAGTCCTCGTAAGCTGGCTGGTCAACCACCCAGCACCAATATGGGATGAGCTCCTAGTACCTGTTGGGGTCTAACTCCCTGCATCTCAACAGACGCCACAGTCAAGTGTACACATTCATCTTGTGGAGGAATTGAGTGCTAGTCCCCCTCCATCCTTAACCTAGTAGCCTAGAAGACCCCTCATACTCTTTTGTCCTCCTCCGAGCCAGTCCTGAGCATCCCGGCTTTCTCTCTGCAAGACTGTTCTAGGCCCTCCTGGTACCAGATGCTCCTCAGGAAAGTGCCTGCCACCTCCAAGCCTCACTGCTCAACAGGCAATTCAGCGTTCATTCCGAATGACCCATAGCTTACTCCAAACAGAGGAGACAGTACCCCTCTCTGCCCCAGCCTCATCAAAAGAGCTGGCTGTGCACGTGGGTCAAAGCCCTGGACTTACCGTGACTCAGGTTCCTGGGTTTAGAATATGTGGGCAATAAGATCTCTCTCTGCTTTAAGAGAGTATAACTCTAACTCAATAAATGCTTCCAGTATAGAATAGACATACATGGGATGTTTCTTTAAACGCCTCAGAGAGCTGGTTGTTCGCTGGTTCTCTGAAATGAACTCCACAGTTTAAGGACATCTGAAGTTATAGAAGAAAATGATGCTATCCCATCAATAAAAGTTATTTACTTATCCTGGCTGGAAATGTTTGCACCCAAATTTTAAAATATGCACCTGAATGAACTGGCATGTGATGAACGAATACTCGTGCTGGGCACTGCATGGCCTTTTGAAAGAGATTCCTCTTTCACTCCTAGATGGAAGGTAAAACTTAGAAGGTAGGTGCAAAGTCATTTGACCTAAAAACAAAGATAGATGTAAGCATTCATTCTGAGTGACCCATAGCTTAGTAAAACAAGTGGGAACCTGTGTTGAGATTGAAATCCTAAAGTAAGTGAAAAAGATGTCATGAGACATAAAGGCACTAGACCAATGGTTCATTCATGTACTTCAACGCATATATGCAATGTACACATTTAATACAAAATACATTTAATATATTAAAAGCATACGTAACGAAAGAGAGAAGCAAGTCATTCTATGTATTAAAGACTATGATGGTAGCCGTAAAACTGCCCTGGACCC